CAGACATTAATTAAAATATATTCATCATCTCTTGGGTTTCCATGACACAAGTGTGCAAAAGTTTTCAACACTGTATTTTCAAAAAAGAATGCTGGAAACTTGTGTGTGTATATATATATATATATATATATATATATATATATATTAAGGCATTAAAAACTAGAAATGTAGTATTGTAGGCCATGATAAGTTTAAAATAAAACACACACAGTCGACCGGTTTCGTCCCCTCTCGTCAGAACTGTTAACGGGGAATTTAGATTATGAGGAAAAGAAAAAGAAAAAGTCTGTCATGGGTGACATGAATGAATGGACAGGGAAGGAAAAAAAAAAAAAAAATATAAAAATATATATATGTATATTAAAATTATACCAACCAAGCTTGGAAAAGCGCTTGGAATTATAGAACATTTGGACAGTTTCTACATCAAAAAAAAAAAAAAAAATATATATGTATATTAAAATTATACCAACCAAGCTTGGTTGGTATAATTTAATATACATATATATATATATATTTTTTTTTTTTTTTTCCTGTCCATTCATTCATGTCACCCATGACAGACTTTTTTTTCTTTTTCTTTTCCTCATAATCTAAATTCCGTTAACAGTTCTGACGAGAGGGGTTAAACCGTCGACTGTGTGTGTGTTTTATTTTTAAACTTATCATGGCCTACAATACTACATTTCTAGTTTTTAATGCCTTAATACGCTTTTGCACCATTACAAACCTATTTAAATATATATATATATATATATATATATATATATATATATATATACACACACAAACATGGTGTGTATAAAATCAACAAAAGTTGGTGTTGCAAATAACAGTGCATGATGTAACATAAAAACATACAGAGCAATGTATAAATGATGACAAAAGGTATTTTAACTTGACCTTTTAGTTGTCTTTGTGAGTTCAAGTTTCATATACAGAGAACTGAGCTTCACAAATATATATAGAGTATATTTAGGCATCAATCCTTCATTTATGCATGTCTCATTAAAAATGACAGAAAAGGTACTACAATTAAAATTTTATTTAATTTTTCTTGTGTTCAAACAAATGTTTTCTTTTCTGGACACAGATGTGTAGAAACTGTCCAAATGTTCTATAATTCCAAGCGCTTTCAGCTATACTTTTAACCATTATCAAGGATGATTGTATTTTCACTTTTTAATTAGGTGTATTGGTTGTATGTTCAGAGAGTTATAGAGATGCTTTTTTTTTTTTTCTGAACACAGCACATTGTGGCTGTGGTCATAGTTAATTTTATTAAGTGTTGGCTTTTTCATTTATATTATTAAGGCTTCCATTATTTAAAATTTTTTATTAACGGGTGAAGAAGGTTATGTTTGTGTTTTCTGCTAGTATGTTTCGGATGGAGTCTGGTAAGTTTGTGTGTGTGTTTAAATGGGTTTTGATACAGCTGTGGTTAGATAGGTGTCGCATAAGGCGTCTGGGTAGGCATGTAGTTGTGTGACCAATTATTTATGAATTCAATTTGATTAAGAACAGTTCCTTAAGGGGCATTTTAACTCATAGATAATGTTCGTTCGTTGTCATTTTTGACTTTGTTGGTGTGTTGTTATTTTTGAGGATACGGCTAGCCGTATAAAATTTGATTTTTTTTTTTTTTTTTTTATTCAGGTCGATTGGGGTAGTGTATTTCTTTATAATATTTCTAAGTGAAGATTCATCTTGCTTGTAGTTAATGTGCATTTGTTTTTTGTAGAAAATATTTATGTAATTTTTTACTGTATGTTCACTATTGTTGTTATTTACTTTGGGGAAAAATAGTCTAATTTGGTGGTCTATAAGGTGGTTAGGGAAGCCATAGTTAATTAGTGCCTGTTTTACATTATTGAGTTCTTTAAGGAAGAGTAGTCAAGAGAATAAATTCAGTTGTGCTTTTTATAGGAAGTTTTTTATTTTTGTGATTGGGCATTCACAACAGTTAAGGTGGCAAGACGTTTTGCTAGTGGCTTTTTTTTATATAATGAGGTGATAAAAATGTCATTATATTCTACGAAAACATATAAGAATGGTCAAAAACAAGAAAAATTAATTAAAAATCTTAATCGTAGTACCTTGTCTGTTGTTTTTAATGAAACATACATGCATTTATATATGTATATATATTCATGGTATTCTTTGGAAAGCTGAAAGTTTGAAATAGTCTATGGTGACAACATATGTAACAGTTACTAGGAGTGAGGCTGCTCAAATGCAATTTTTTATATATATATATATATATATATATATATATATATATATATATGGGCGAGTAGTTAGAACATTGGCTTTCTGACCATGAGATCCGGGTTTGAATCTCACCATGGTCAATTTGTCAAGAAGGAAACTTCCTGACGTTATCGGTCTGGAAGGGAACAATCCCAGCGTGCAGCACCTTCGGAAAGTGCCTGAAAACCATACCACAAGTTGACCCAAGCCTTGTGAGTGACACTGGGTAGACAGAACACTTGGGAGACCATTGATAGCTGTGCTAGCACAAAGTTACAAGTCATTTTGACTGAGGGTTTGATTGTGCTGGCCTTGTTCAGATTGTTGATCATGTAAGATAACACACTCTCTCCCAGAAACTGTAACTAAAGTCTGATCAGCATAGTTGCACTATAAACCACAGGTGGGTTCTGTGGAAGTTGAGCAAACACAAATGTACCTGAGCAAGTGTCTGCAATAGGGATTGGCTAGCTGCCCTAGTAGACAGGTATCCTCGAATACTAGTGGCCAGCTATATATATATATATATATATATATATATATATATATATTTGTTGGATTGATGTGAGTTTGTGACCCTGGGTTTCACGCTTTTGCATCAGAGTTTGTCTGACAATCGCAAAAGCATGAAACCCAGGGTCACAAACTCACATCTATCCAACCAAATATGTTAGCTCTATCTCTGATATTGAGCACTTTCTAATAAGTACCACGCATATAATATATATATATATATATTAGTGAAAGAAACTGTATAAAATCAACAATGGCTAATGCTACAAAAAAGTGCTTGATGTAACATAAAAACATACAGAGCAAAGTATAAATGATGATAAAATGTATTTAACTTAGCCTTTCAGTTGTCTTTGCAACTTAAAGTTTCATATGCAAGGAGCTGAGCTTCACCAAACGCAATCTTATAAGGAGAGTAGAATTTCATGAATTGATCATTGGAAAATCTATGAATGGGATTAGATAGTAGAATTTCCTGAATGGAATTTTTGAAAATCCATCAATGGAATTCTACTATCTTTCTTTACAACCTGAAGATTGTATTTGGTAAAGCTTGCTTCTCTGCACATAAAAGATTAAGTCATAAGGGCAGATGAAAATTCAAGTACCTTATATATATATATATATATATATATATATATATATATATATGAAGAAATATATTTTTAAGGTGTGCTATATTTTTATGGGATAAAGTGCTCAATATCAGAGATAGAGCGTATGTAAATATAAAAGTGAACATTGAAGTCAACACTCTGAGACGACTGATGTTTGCACTTAGCATGAAACAGTCTGTCACCTCTGAGTGTTGACTTCAATGTTCACTTTATACAAATATAGGTAACTATACTCATTTCGAAAAACCTTCAAATTTTTGATTTGTCAATAATCAAATCAATCTCAAGGGAAAAAACGGTTTTAAAAAAAGAGCTAGAAACATGAAAGTCTGTCGAAAAAAAATCGCACAAATACAGGTTTGAAGCCCAAAGAAAAAACCCCGACATGAGTAAACAACTAACAAAAGAGCTCAATACAACTGTAGAGCAGACCTAGATAAACCTAGTGAGCCAGACAAACCTACCCAGGTTTCACCTAAGCAGATCGTCAGGGAAAGCTGGCCTAGGTTTATCTATCTATCTATATATATATATATATATATATATATATATATATATATATATATATGGTAGACTCTCTTGTCGTGGGCAACAAATGAAGGCTGAGTACAATAAAGAGTTGGTTATGCGTGTGTCTCCAAAGGCCTGCAGGTGTTTGCAAACTTTTAGACAGATGAAACATGTGGTTGAGCCATTTTGCTTGAGTGGTTGAAGACCAATTGATATGTTTCTTTCCGCACGTGGACAGCAAGGACTTCTTTACTGCACACAACAAAGCCACAGTGGCAGGTAAGGCTATCATTGAGAGGAGCAGCATGTTGACAACTTTATTTATTTATTTATATATATTATATGAATGGTAATACACATTTTGGAAAACCTTGGTTAGCTCAACTTGTAATACAATAAATTGATGTCCGAGGAAAAATTGGAAAAAAAAAAAAAAAAACAAGAACATAACACTGTACAAATCCTCTCATCAAGTACTTGAGCTCCAAGTCCAAAGAAAAAAAAACCCAAAATGAGTAAAAGACTAACGGATTATTTTAGTTATATATATATATATATATATATATAAAACACCATTTTATTTAAATAATTTTTCCTGTATGTATTGAAATAGTTTTTTGTTTTTGGTATTTATTTATTTTTATTTTTTTACCTGGCTTTAAATATTGATATTTTTTTTTTGATTATGAAGAAAGCAAATAGTAAAAAAATAAATGATTGATGAATTTTCATTGTAAAAGAAGATAGCAAGAACTCAATCAATTGTTACTTCTACTATTATATCGAACTTATTAAGGATGTTACTGCCAGCTACTTTCTTTTAAAGAATTGAAATCAATTACAATTTCAAAAAAAAAAAAAAAAAATACTGTTAGGAAACATTACAAATGCATTTGTAATATGAGGCCCGTTAAAAAAAAGTCTTTTATTTGGTTGATTTTTTTCAGTATTTGTTTACAGCTTCAAATTCAACAAGTCTACCCTCAAATTCTATCCATGAGCCCTTCTATGTGGACTTGTCAAATTAATAAAGACTATTTGAGCGGCTTTATCACAGGTGTCCTGATAACAAGATGACGGGATTTGTCATTTTCTCTCATACATTTGATTTCACCAAGCAGAAACAAAAGTCTCAGCACAAAAAAAGATATCTGGAAAAAAAGAAATTAACACTTTAAAATTTTAATTCAAAGTTTTATAAATTTTCTAATAAAAATCTATGCTGTCGTCATCCTTATGTTTGAAGACCCACAACAGATAGGACATACACCAATATGTAATAAGTTTACATGTTTAAGGTGAAGTTTAATTTATAAACAGGACCCAATAAGAAATTATCAACAAGAACTTATAATAAAATAAAACAATTATAATATACATATTTTACATTTGGACTATTGTCCTCATCTTTGTTTTTGCCAGGCAGTGTGTACTTGGACTCAGTGGAAACAGGTGAGTAATAACTGAACAGTATTGAAAATAAGAACTAGATGAGATGAGGTGCAGTGAGTCCCACACAACAAATATATATATATATATATATATATATATATATATATATATATATATATATATATATATATATATATATAAAAGCAAAAACTAAAAAGAATTCAAATTAAATTAAAGCATTCACACTTTTCTTTAAACCCTTATTTCCTTCTTTCTATCTCTCTTTCAACTAATGAGAAGGCAACCTTCAATTTGGGGACATAGCAATTGTGAGTTCAATCCCTGGGCCAGGCAGTATGTTGGACTTGGTGGAAATGGGTGAGTAATAACTGAGCAGTACTAAAAATAAGAACTAGACGAGATATCCCTAGACATAAGCAGTGGAACGAGAACAGTCTACCTCTGTAGATTAAGTAAACGGTTCAGTTCAGAATTCCTCGTAGGTTACCTGGATCTATATACACCTGATGAAGGCCAAAGTTCACAATGGCCAAAATGTGATAACAACAAAGATGATTGATTGATCTGTTTTCTAAGGCTTATCAACCCTTTGTAGGTTATTTAAAGCTAAAAAATATATTTAAAGTGTAAGCAATTTTTTTGAGATAATAATGGTTTCATGATACAAGTCTTCCTAATTAACTCATAGCTTGGGGGAGAAGAGGTGGATTCATACTTTTGTCAAGGGTATTTGTGTGTAAGTGAATGTAACGAACAGGAATTGGAACTCGGTTCTCTGATTAAGAATTCCGAGCCATTATCTATTACACCACATGCACATCCGAGCTTATAGCAACTGGCAATCCCAAACGGTCACTCATTTAGGTACTGACCAGACTCAATGTTGCTTAACTTCTGTAATTGTATGGGAAATAGTGTTTCAATGTGATATAACCATAAACTAATACAGATGAAGACAATAGTCCAAATCTAAATAGTGTAGATAATGATAATTTCTCATCCCAGAAATTCAGACAGAATTTTTTTTTTTTTTTACAAAAGAACTGTAAATGATCTGTGATTGCAAAGGAAATATTTGTTGCAGATTACTTCCACAACGCAAAGAATAAATCACTGTAAGTTCAGACTCGAACATCGAGGACAGAATGAAATGCCGACAACTCGATTCGCAGGTACTATCTCACAAATCACAATGCCTGCAAACAGTCAGAAAAATAACTCACTCTCTGACAAACATGGTAGCCAAAATACACGAATTTTGCTTCCCCAATTCAAGAACACCAACTGCTTTTATCAGCCGAGCATTTTTTCCATTCGACAGCTGGGAGAGGACGCCCAATATTTGCATATCAAAATACTTTTATAGTGACTCCTGCGATGGACTTGTTTTTAACTTAAATATTCTGTCTTCAGCATGTCATGTGGAATATCGCGACCTTTTTCTGGGTAAGTAATTTTCTTTTTTGGCCACATTTTCCATCGTAGGATACATGCGACATGCTGTTGCTTAGTTTGACAAGGTAAGTCGCCGTTTTCTTTGCTATAAGAACACCATAAATACATTAGTTACTCAGAGCGGGATGTGACACAAGGCTGGTTTAACATGGGTTTTTCAAAGCCCATAGGCCTGGGTAAAATACCTCACAGACCCAATAACAACGGGGTTGGATTTGTCTGCCTCTCCAGATGAGGCTCTGCCCTTCAGCATAGCGTCGTCAGGGTTCCTCTCTGCCCAGAGGCAGATAGTCAACAAGCAGTTACCTAATGGTAATTCTAAATGCATTAGTTACTCACCATAACTCAACTGACCACAATTTTGATTTTAAAAATGCTACTCTAATTAAAAGAGAAAACAGTGAAAATGAAAATATATAGAAAGTGCTTTAATCACTAGATCATCCACAGTAAATTTGCATCCAGCTTCTTATGTTTAATCATTCCTGGCAGATCTTCTATTATCACAATGTTGGATATTTATTAACAAAAGTGAGGTAAACATAAACAAAAAGAAATAGAATCTAAATGAAATTGGCTACTAGATTACAGACCCCAAAACAGATTAAAAAAATATTTTGGAATGTGTAGTTGCATCAATGTAAATATAAACCTCGTCTGATGAAGTCCTAAAGGATGAAACACATCACACAAAAATCTTTATCCATTCCCCCCCACACCTGGTCAAAGATCTTTCCTTAAAAAAACACACACACACACACATATATATATATATATATATATATATATATATATATATATATATATATGCACACATGTGTACAGGGTGCGATGGATAAATTGTCGTCTGAATTACACAGAAATGAAAATAACACTGATATCTCATTTTAACAGATATATTTACCAAAATGACACAAAAATATCTTGAAATACAAGACAGTAAATCTATTCAATAAAATTGCCATTGACTTCAACCGCAGCTTCCAGGGAATTTTGGAATCTCCTGCAACTCTTCTGGACAGTCTCCTTGTTTCAGTTGGTGAATGCTGCCATAATCCTTGGTCTCTTGCTCAACTGTGCCCCACACACATAATAATCAAGGGTATTACAGTCTGAAGAATTAGGTGACCAGATGTAAGAGGTGAAGTGGCTGCAAAAATTATCTGATGGCCATAACTGGGTTGTCCTGCTTGTGTGGCATGGTGCAGAGTCCTGTTGCCAGACATAAGATCTTCCAGCAGCCACCCTCTTGACCCATGGCAGCACTACCTCCTCAAGGCACTTGATGTAGGCCTCTATGATGAGTTTGAGGCCATCACCATCAAATTCAGGAATTTTTTCTCATCAGAGTGAGTTTTCTAAGCTGCCATACCTTCATAATCACCATCAGACTCATCCAACTCTTTCCGAATCATCTGCACTGTCCTCAGATTGACACCCAAACACACTGAAATGTTCATATTGGAGCTTCTGGAGTGAATGTCATGCAGTACATCATGCCGTTTCCAAGTTTCTGGCAGAGTGAATTGCATCATGGTGCTTTTTTTTCTCACAAGATGGTGCCCAACTGACCCTACTATACTCTGCAGTTGACAAAATCAAAAAAACAAAAGCATATGCACAAAATTAAAAACATAAAATGGTGGCAATTTACCCATCGCACCACGTACACACACAATTAATCCAACATAAAACTTAATTCCAATCAAAATTGCTAAGTCAGAAAAATAACGAGATTGATAAAACGGTCATTTTAGTAAAAAAACATTTTTTAATTTATTTTTTTAAAAATTTATCTCACCTGTACTTTGGTCAATTGGTGATACCTATGTACCAACAGATTCTTTCTTTTTTTTTACCAATTCTACTAAATGCTTATAGCGTGCAATACAGTCTTCCTGCAAAAAAGTAAAAAAAAAAAAAAGTGTTCAACACAAAGGCATTTAAATTACTGCAGCTCTTTGTTGTTATACAATATTCTAGTTTCTGTTAATGAAACAAAAATTACAAGGCAGATAATTGTGTTGATCAACATCAAATTAAATTCATTAAAAAGCAATTGATATGAAAAAATTTATAAAAATCAGCAATAAATTTTCTTGATTTTAGTATGTTTTTTTTTTTATTCCAAAGCAGTTTGAATTATTTCAAAAAAGGATATTTTTTTAAAAAAAATGGAATAAATTCAATTACAATAGGAGTCATGCCTTTTGAGAAAAGAGTAAAATTTATATTGAAGAATTCATGTCATTTGAAAATAGTGTAATTTCTATTGAGAAATAGGTAAAATTATTTGAAAAAGGAGTAACATCTATTGATAAAGAGGTTTGTTTTGATTTGATGGCATATCAAATGTGTCATTTAATATTTTTGGGAGCTTTGACATAATAAAAATATGATAGATATTATTTTGGTTTCACAATTGAGCACATGGTAGATGTGTGGACATAATTACTACAGGCAATGATATGCCTGTTGTATGTTGTAGTTTTGTTGAAGTTATATTTTGGAATACAGTTTGATTTCTTGAAGAAATTGTAGGATATTATATGGATTTCTTTTATGTTGGTTGGTTGTTTGATTGATTTTGTTTAGTGGCATGTCAACATCTCTATGGGTTATTTTATGCCAAAGATAAAATGCTACAGATAAAATGTATTATTGGTCATTTTGCTATAAAATGTATTACCAGTAATTTCACTATCAATAGGTTATTGTTGGTAATTTTTTTTTATATAAAAATGCTGTAAGTGATCTGGAATTGCAAAGGGGAACATTTGTCGCAGATTACTTCCACAACGCAGAGAATAAATCACTAAGTTCAGACTAGAACATCGGGGACAGAAAGAAATGCCGACAACTCGATTTGTAGGTACTATCTCACAATGCACGCAACCAGTCAGAAAAATTAACTCACTCTCCAACAAACATGGTAGCCAAAATACCCAAATTTTTCCTCCTGGATTCGAGAACACCAACTGCTTTTATCGGCCGAGCATTTTTTCCATTTGTCGACAGCTGGGAGAGGACGCTCAATTTTTTGCATATCAAAATACTTTTATGGCGACTCCTGCAATGGACTTGTTTTTTAATTTAAATATTCCGTCTTCAGCATGTCATGTGGAATACGTGCCCTTTTTTGGGGTAAGTAATTTTCTTTTTCGCCATATTTTCCATCGTAGGATACACGTGATGTGCTGTTGCTTGGTTTGATGAGTTAAGTCGCCGTTTTCTTCGCTATAAATGTATTGCTGGTATTTTTACCCTTTCATAGCATATGTAAGAAAGTGATGGTGCTATCATATATTTAACATCAACTTTCAATATTAACCAACATTCATACTTCTGATTATTATTGCAATATTTTTGTTAAAGTTGTTAAGCCCAAATATTTAACGAGGCCACTGGGGAATTGCAACACGTATTTTATAGTTGTGAAATTAAGAATTATGATTCATAAGAAAATTAACAGGAAAAACACAAAATTTTCATGGGTACTGCTAGTCACTATAAACTTTATATTTTGTGAGCACACATGTAAATAGACATCCCTACACAAAAAACATGTATCCGACAAAATATAAAGTTGATAAGAAATAATGATAGATTTAAAGAACATTATTACTTGCTTAAAAAATACATATTTATCTCAAAAAAAAAAAAAAAAAAAAAAAAAAGATTATATATTAAGTATTTGTTCAAAATATTTCAAATATCAAATAAAACAAAATTTAAAAAAAAAAATATTTCTTAATTTGAAATTAAAATGGAAATCCTGTTCATAATGCAAGCCTTCCATTCTAATTTTAAATTCTTTGTCAAAATACTAAATAATACAAACCTTTGTTTTATTTGATAAATTCTCTGCAATTTTTTCCCATCTCTGCTCTGTTCCTTTTGGATATTGTCTTAGCATCATTTCAAGAACCATTTGCTCAGTTTGTGACCAACTCTCAGCATCACCTTGAGAAGTATCTGTCTTTGGCTCTGCTGCCAAAGAACCAATATCTTCAGCTGCTAATTCCAGCTGGGTACTGGTTTTTGAACTACTAGCAGGTACAAGTAGAGTTTGGTTCCGGGGAACCAATTTCATTTTATTCAGAGTTTTTTTTTTACAGTTTGCCTGAGTGGTTTCTTTTTCAGACGCACCAGACTCACTCGTACAAGGGAAGTCTATTTTTGTAGATATGATACTGTCACTTATCTGAGTAGTACGAGAGCTAGATTTGAATTTAATGTTGTCAGCATGGCTTCCTGGAAAAGAAGAAACCAATTAAAAATAAAATAAAATCAGTTTAGCAAACACACCTATGTGTGTGTATATATATATATATATATATATATATATATATATATATATATATATATATATACACACACACACTTGGTTGTATGGCTGAGAGTTTATAACCTTAGGTTTCATGCTTTTGCGATCCTCAGATAAACTGATTTATTTTTTAAAATTTCAATCTATTTATGCCAGTTTCTGTTTGGGGATAATAGTGGGGAAAAAAATTCTCCTCTCTGTCCATTTTGGGATGGCACTCATATGTACACAGACATACATACATGACAGTGTATGTATTGCAGTTCTCACAAAAATATACATATATGAACAATGTGGGGCCAGGTGTAGACATTTATCCATACATTTGAGTACATATACATATGCAATTATGATCATTTCAGTGTTGAGATTGTGTAGCAAAGTTCTTTCCACAAGGGGTAAGTTGTGGTGTTCTTGTCATGTTTCAGATCGTTAGTTTATGTTGTTAACAGAATGATACTTCCTCACACGCATGTATATATGTGTACATATATTTCTATCAGCCTGAGCCTTACATTGCTTAAAATGGGCTCTGTATATGAATATAGCAGTGAAGATGATATTTTTATTTTTAATGTTGCTTGCTTGTGTATTATAGACAATTGCACTTATATAAAAAGTTGAATTCCTAATTTATATTACTTATTGGTATCTTTACAGAAAATTGGTACTAATTTTGATGAGGAATAGGAGTACGATTGTAAAAGGAATGTGACGATGTTAACTGTGGTAATGGATATAGCAAGCATAAAGGTTATGGTGAAATAGTAAGAATGAAATAATTACAATAATGAGAGCAATGACAATGGTAAACAATAATGAGATCAATGGCAATTGTGGAGGATATGATGTGGAATCAATAGTGGTAGTAAAGTATAATGATACAAGGTAACCAAAAAAGTTCTGTCCGTTTTTTGATTAGTCATTGAATGAAGTTGAAATATATACGAAATGCGTGTAGCAATTATTTTCAAATTCGGACAGCCAGAAGTAGGAACATCAGACGTTATAAAAGACACGTGCACCGTGCCCGGCCATCAGTTATAAGCCGGACAGCTGTGAGAAGGATGGAAGTGTCTAGAGATCTCATTTGGGGCTGTTTGCTTTACGACTTCAAAGTGGGCTTATCAGCAGCTGCATCAAGTCGCCGCATATGTCAAGCGTTTGGGGATAGTACTGTGGATGAATGTATTGCAAGGCGTTGGTTTCGAAAATTCAAGTTGGGAGATTTGTCTTTCCATGATGAGCCTCGCAGTGGACGACCACAGGTCTTGAATGACGGAGTCCTGAAGGCGGCCATTGAAGAGGACAGTAGTCTAACGTGTGGTGAACTTGCAAGACTGTTCAACGTTTCCGATGAAACAGACTTCACCTGCACCACCTAGGTAAGACATACAAGCTGAGCAAGTGGGTTCCGCAAACGCTTTTGGAGGTCCACAAGGGACAACAAGTGGCAGTCTGCGTATCGCTGCTTTCTCGCCACCGTACTGCATCCAAATTCAATCGAGTGCTTACCAGTGATGAAAAGTGGGTTCTGTACGAAACTCCCAAACGTTCCAGACATTGGTTGTCTCCTCAGGATGCTGTCCCTCACACTGCAAGACTGCCTATGCACCCACGCAAGATTATGCTTTGCGTCTGGTGAACAGGTTGTCAAGTGGTTCATTATGAACTGCTACCAACAGGCCAAACAGTCACTGGAGACCAATACTCGCAGCAATTGAAATGTGTGCAACAGGCATTGTGCCAGAAGGAGCCAGCACTGGTGAATCGCAAAGGTGTGCTTTTCCTCCATGACAACGCCAGGCCACATGTCGTGCAAGTGGTCAGGGATACCATACAGCAACTTGGGTGAGAGACTTTGTGCCATCCACCTTATTCACCTGATCTTGTGCCATCCGATTACCACCTCTTCCACTCCCTGGATAATCATCTTCGTGGGAAATCCTTCACCAATTGCGCAAAACCCTCACGGACTTCTTTGTCCCAAAACCCCTCAAGTTCTACCGCAAGGGCATTGAACAGCTGGAGACACGTTGGCAGAAGGTGCTGGATGCCGATGGCGATTACTTCGAAGACTAAATATATGTTGCACATACGGTGAAGCGTTTTCTTTTCTTCCTTTAAAAATGGACAGAACTTTTTGGGTTACCTTGTAATAACAGTGGAAGTAACAAATAGTAATGGTAATAATAGTATTAGTGATGATAGTAACTGTAAAATAAAATAATAATAAAAGATAACAGTAATAAACATAAATAATGAAAATAATTAATGATAAAAGATTAACGATAAATTATAAATTAAGAGTTAAAATAGCAGTCTTGAATAGTAATGAATAAATAATAAATAATGATGGAAGTGGTAATAAATAATAAAAGTGATGGTACTAGTAGAAGAGATAATGAATAAAAAATAAAATAAAAAAATTTTCCCCCTACTACTACTAAACATAATCAAACAGAAACTGACATAAATAGATTCAAATTTTAAAAAATAAATCAGTTTGACTGAGGATCGCAAAAGGGTGAAACCTCAAATTACAAACTCACATCCATATAACTAAGCATGTTAGCTTTATCACATGTATTGAGCACTTTCCAATAAGTACCACATATATATAATATATAAATAAAATATATATATATATATATATAAAAATCAAACAGACATATATATATATATATATATATATATATATATATATATATATATATATATATTCTTCTTGGCTTGGCTTTGCGAATGAATATTTATGAAGTGGACTGTCCATGTCAACTGCAGCGACTGCAATTAAAGGTCTGGTCTGGTATGGCTGCTGAGGCTTCCCAGTCCTTCCTACAATGACTTCCAGTAACACCTGCCGTTTCACCCCTTTCCCATTGCTACATGGCTTGGAAGTGTCACGGACGTGGACCTGTCCCTTGACCCTGTGCAATGAGGTTTTTAGGTGGAGTGCAGAGTGCACAGTACTGACCCCACCCTTTACACTTGTGGTTCATCTGTCATGGCTTAGTGAGTTGCAATTAATACAATCATTTTATAAGACACCAATAGTGTTGAAACAAAATTGCAATTTGCAATTTTTGTAGTGATGCTATAACATGCATAGGTTATAATTTTGAATATATATATATATATATATATATATATTCATGTAGTCAAGATAGCAAAGAGGAAAGCTCATCAGAACAATTTCCATGAAAATATTTATAGAAAAGTCACAGGAAAGCTGTGTTATGGAAATGGAAAAAATAATTGAATTCGAGATGCCAGAACTGGTAACATTACAGAGTCTTCTTTTGATTTTATCAAGTATCTCAAGATATATCAAAAGAGCAACAGATTATATATGGCAACAATATTTAATGCATGGACGAACAATAGATTTATAAGATGGATTCTGGCAAGAAAAATTGTCTAGCACAACACAGTGAACCAACTTTTCTAACAGCAGACCTAACAATTGATTATGCATGAATTCATTATCATAAAAAGGTATTTATGCAAAAGTGTTAGGAAAATAAACACAGCAAACATCAACAACTGTGGCACCTTGCATTATTAGAAATATTCCTAGAAATATGATTTAATTTTTTCTTACTCAGTTTATTAAACAGGTTGTTAATTTTTTTTTAAAACGGAAAATAACTGAGTTGAAAATAATTCACTAAGAGTGTACTAGACGATCCTAAGGAAAGAAGAAGGAAAGAAAGGAAAAAGGAAGGAAGGGAAGAAAAAGAAAGAAAGAGAAATGTATGACGATGACCCAATTGAGGGTGGAGATAGGAGTCAGAAAGAGATTTAGGTCAGCGTCTTGGCCGATTTTCGAAAAGACAATTGGAAGAATAGAATTATAAATAATAAGAAGAAAGAAAGGGAAAAAAAAAAGACATGATATCAAAACGGGCAGCTGATGTAGACCAGATATCGTCAAAGCATCTGACCGACTTTTGCGTGGAGAGACCTTTATCAATTTGGTTTAGAACAATAGAAATGAAATTTTAATCAGAGAAAAGTGTTTTTGGGTTGAGGGGAGTTACGGTGGAACGATATACAGATCTTGACCTGTTAAGAATTGGACACCCACGTTAATAAAGTAGAGACATTTCAATGTAGATAATTAAGATTTTCGACTATCAGGAAAAACAAAGAGGTAAAAAGAGGGACAATTGCTTTTGGCTCACAGAGGGCGCCAAGAAGGTGGAAAAGATCCTTTCTAAAGTCAAGACTAATTAGCAGCGGGCTGTTTGACAAAGTCCAGGTGAGAGAAAGCCAAAGATTGTCATTTTTGCGACGTGCAAAAAGGGAAAAATTGGATTTTGTTTTTTTTTTAAACAAGAACGATGTAACCATGCCCGCAAACAGAGGGAAGAGGATGTTCGATCAATAACAATTGGTCGAATATGATCACGTGACTTGCGGAAGAAAAGGGAAAGAAATGCTCGATCAGGAACGATTGGTTGAAAAGCGGTCACCTGACATATGAGAGACTAAGAGAGATGGATGTCGCCGCCCCACCAAAGGTACTACGAGGAAGTAGGGGCGAAAACAATAGCGATAATGGAGAAGACAGAATTAATGCAGTTTTGGAATTATCGAGAAAACCTGACGCCGACAGACCCACCCCAGTTTGTTGCGTCAATAAAAGCAGGGCCCCAATCGACAAAAAATCAGTTCATCCCCGGACGGCAGCGAGAAAAGAACCCTCAGACAAGAAGAACTTCCAGCCCAAGTAGATGAAGAAGAAGAAATACAACTCAAGTTGAGAGAAGAATCAACTCACGAATGATCGATAGAAATTAGCCCCAGTGTCGAACTGAACCACACTCCGACATACATACATGATTCTAGAAAGTAGGTAATTCGACATTTTTCTATTGTGTGATAGAAGCTTGGTGCCATAGTCCACAGAGCGGGTCGGGAA